GGGGAGAGAGGGGAGAGAGGGGAAGAGAAGCGGGGATTCACATGTATATATACGTATCGAGGCAGTGAGTGGGATGGGATACATAAAATAATATGGGGTAACCGTACCGTGGGTGGCACTTATCGATTATCGGTTTATTTACTTCGTACTGTGTCACCTACTCATTTGTCGTCCCGAATTTGCATTTGCATTTGCATTTGCATTTGCATTTCAATTCGGATCCGAACCTGCATTTGCATCTGCATTCGACGACGAACGCCTTCCAACGATGAAAGAAACTGCTTCGACCGGGACGGGACGGGACGGAACGGAACGAACGAACGAACGAACGGAGATATACCTAGATGTAGAGTATAGAGTATAGAGTATAGAGTATAGAATCTAGAATCTAGAATCTAGAATCTAGAATCTAGAATCTAGAATCTAGTCGGATAGATCTTCCATCCCTATACATCCCTATACATCCCTATACATCCCTATACATCCCTATACATCCCTATACATCCCTATACATCCCTATACATCCCCATCCCGATACCATTCCTCACACACACGCTTCTGAATTTCCGCATTTCTGAATTTCCGCATTTCCGCATTTCCGCATTTCCGCATTTCTGCATTTCTGAATTTTCTGAATTTTCTGAATTTTCTGAATTTTCTGAATTTTCTGAATTTTCTGAATTTTCGAAGGAAGCCATTTATTCACTTCACTTCACTTCACGCATGCACGCACGCATGCAAGCACGCAGGCAAGCAGGCAAGCAAGCATGCACGCACACACGCATGCATGCAAGCACGCAGGCAAGCACGCAGGCATGCAATCTCTCCGTGTCTATTGATGGAGGTAGGTAGGTAGGTAGGTAGGTAGGTAGGTAAGGTAGGTAAGGTAGGTAAGGTAGGTGCCGGTGGTACTGCCTGCCTGCCTGCCTGCCTGCGAAGTAAGTAAGTAAGTATGTACGTACTATGTAAGTAAATAAGTAAGTAAGTAAGTAAGTAAGTAAGTAAGTAAGTATGTATGTATGTATGTATGTATGTATGTATGTATGTAAGTGAGTAAGTAAGTAAGTAAGTAAGTATGTATGTAAGTATGTATGTAAGTACCTAAGTATGTATGTATGTACCTGCTAAGTAAGTGAGTGAGTATGTAAGTAAGTAAGTAAGTACCTGCCTGCCTGCATGCCTGCATGCTCTCTACGTAGCATATTAGGATCAGGTTCGAAATCAGGATCGAAATCAGGATCATAGTCACAGTCGGAATCGAAATTGAATTCAGAATCAGAATCTTAGTCGAAAAAGAAATAGAAATAGAAATAGAAATAAAAATCAATATCGATATGCGGGGATGGGGGTGTATACGGGATGGATGGAGGCGTGTACGGGATGGATGGAAGTTTACAGATGGATGGGTGGAAGTATGTCTGTATATATATATATATGACAAAAAACAGTAGAGCAAAAGTACAATGAGGCTGTAGATATGCTTTCAGATCGCCGTGGATCATGGACGTTTAAATTGTACAGAGATAGACACAGAAACAGAGATGGAGACAAAATAGGAACGCACCACGCACCACACACCAAGCACCACCCTCGCCTGCCTCGCTAAAACGTCGACAAAACAGAGATCGCTTCTTCGCTTGCCGCCCCTTTTCGCCCCCCGCAGCACCAAACAGGCGATAGGCGAGTTACCCCTTTTTCGACCCAGCACAGGGCTCAAATTAGCCCCACCCGCCTAACAACAACAATAACAACAACAAAAACAACACCCGCTAACGCCTACTCATACATCAATACTGAAATGGCTGATCTGGCTGTAATAAGCGTGAACGGCCAACTCCAAGATCTGGACATCCCCAAAGACCTCGCCTCCATCAAATCCGCCTACAACAATCAGCCTGCTGTCGTGCAGGACTGTCCCGTGGTAGCCTCGCGCTCGTGGCGGGATCCCGTAGATCTTCCTCTTGTCCCAGACCATCGTCACCAGGTTCAGGAGCAGAACCTCATTGCTGTACTCTACACCGTCGTGGCCCCCGATGACAAAGAGGTAGGATCCGACAATCGTAGACGTGTGGCTGAGGCGCGGATACGAGACGGGGATGTTGACCGGTGAGAAATGCTGTGTTTCGACATCAAACACCCATACATCGCGAAAGCACTCCCCGCCATCACTGCCCCCGAAGATAATGAGCTTGGAGCCGACCATATTCGCAGTGTGGTATCCTCTCGCCTTGGGCTTCGTCTTGTCCTCCACCGAAGCAGATGATGGAGGGGAGACGAGCCTCCAGGACATCTTATTCGTGTCGGCAACATCCAGCCTCCAGACATCGTTCAACGCTCTTACGCCATCTCCGCCCCCAAAGATGTAGATTCCATTCCGCCACAGACATGCTGTATGCGCCCTCCTCTTGCTAGGTTGCCGCTCCCCTCCAATCTTCGGCTTGCTCCATCTGAAATTTACAGTGTCCAGCACGTATATATCGTTGTAGTAAGCTGGCCCGTCACCACCGCCGAAGACGATAAGCTTCTTACCGACCGCCGTACAGGTCATGGCTCGTAACGGGAGAGGAATCTCGCCACAGACGTAGGGATTGGAGAAGTAGAACGCGTCTGCATCCAAGACGTACAGCTCGTTGAAACAGGATCGCGAATCGCAGCCTCCGAAGATGTAAACATTGGACCCAACCAGTGTTGTCGTGTGTGCTCGTAGCGATGTATGCGATGCTCCTGATACTGGTGCTTTCGACCAGTACATGCCACTCGCTGGCGCAGGTTCGACATCTGGGGCGGTCTTCGGATCCGGCAGAGGTGGGAATGGTATATGGGAGGCTCGTGGAGGTCTCTGTGCTGGTGGTGTTTTCCGAGAAGGAACAGGCGAAGAGCTTCCCTCTCTGAACTTCGAAGCTATCGCAGATGTCGACCGCACATTGACCGGCCGTCGAGAGTCCGGGATGGATAGCGGGACAGGGTTTTTGGTGAATAGCGGAGAGACCAGACCCTCGGGTCTGGAAGTGGGAGCTTTCGAATTTGCTTTTGACGTCGAGGGGGGCAACGGGTCGTTCTGGGACACCGATTGGGAGCGCTGCCGCAGCGCCAAATCTGAGGGCTTCCCCCTCCTATCCTGGCTTTTCGTCGCCAGATGCCCGGGCGTATGGCTTCTCGAAGGCGTTGATACCTCTCGCGGCGGTTCAGCGTCTTCGGGAATATCCTGGGGCCTCGCATCGGAGGGGGACATCTGGATGATTTTGTGAGAGCGCATCAGCTTGGCTGTCTGGATCCTGGGCCTCGCCGCCTTCTCAGAGGGCTTCTGCGAATCAGCCATCCTGTAGGCGCCGTATGTACTTCAAGCTGTGACCAGTAATGGGCATTATTATCTGCGGTGGTGCTGGGCGCTGAGCTGGTGCTTTGTGAAGGAGTTGGCTGCTGAGGTGAGCAGCGACGGCGGCGGTCGCATCCACACGATCCTCCGCTGTAAAGTGTTTCAGGGGAACTGCATGCTGCATAAGGAGGTTTGAGTATTCGGGATGGACAATAGCGTTCTCCGGCGCCGAGGGTAAACACAAAAATGAGGATATAAATTCGAGAACAAGAGCACGTACTGTGTCGTCGAAGTAGGATGATGATGGTTACCTAAGTAGTAGCATCAGCCATCTGAACTTTGAATCTCCAGGGCCCGAGCCGATCATGAATCAGGAACAGACACACACACGTGTTTGGGGAACTCAAACCCCACCACATGTCTTATCTTACTCACTTATCTTGGGCACTTGGCGTCATAGCTAAACGAAAAAAAAAATCGAGGGGCTCACATCTGCACATTTCGGCTTCAGCTCCGGTCAACATACGGAAGTAAAACACATTCGATTCCTGCGACTCAAGTCCGATCGAGCTCAAGTGCAGCAGCAGCCTATCTGGCTCCGCAAACCATCTACACTGATCCACAATTCTCCTCCTGCCCAGCACAATGGCAGACGGCGCCGCCCAGGACAGCGAGGAATCTCTCCAGAAATCTTTGAAAACGGAATCGGGGGCAGCGGATTCAACACAAGTCGTGTTCCCAGAAGATTCATCCGTTACAAAAGACGAGAAAGTTGAGAGAAATTGGGCTACAACGGACGATTCACTGGATGAGCCAGCTGCCAAACGGGTCAAGATTGGAGATTCGAATTCTATGTCGTCTGTGAACGGAGGCAAATTGGGAGGAGATTCGAGGGACAAGGTGAAGGGCATTGCCATGGTGAAGCCCGAGTGAGTCTTCCAGGACCCCGGATATTGGACCGCGATGCTCATAATTGTACAGATTCCTCGTAGACACTTACACCACAAGGACAGCTACAGACTCGACATTTCAAGTAGACGATGACGCCGCAGAAGCACGCAAAGACGACCGAGACAGCAACGATGCTGGGGGCAAGAAGAACAGAGGAGATAAGAAGCAGAAGAAGCAAAAGGGCCAGAACAAGGCTCGTGAGTTCGGATCATGGTACGATGCCATCAGGCTGTGCAACACCCTGGCGAATTCCCCAGAGTTCTCTCCCAAGAAATGCAATTTCGGGGATTCTTGCAAATGCTGCCACGATCTGCGCAAGTATCTCAAAGATGGGAAGCGGGAAGGCCTTACAACTTTCGAAGGCAAATGTCCTGTCTGGGAGAAGCACGGAATCTGCCATGCTGGGTGGAAATGCCGATTTGTAGCAAGCCACTCCAAGGAAATCGAGAGAGAGGACGGTCGAAAAGAGCTGGTCTTGATATACAGAGATGGAGCTGAAGACACGCCAATCGAGGGAGAGGATCGGAAAGAAGTCTACAATGTCGTCAGCACTAAAGACAAACTGGATCTTGCACGGAGAAGATTCAACGTGGACAAGTCTGAAGAGTATACAAGATGGTTGGAAGATGAACAGAAGGAGATGGAAAAGATTTACCACCGAAAGAAGGACGATGTGGAAGATCGCGAAGAGAACCGGGCTATGTTCAAGGATCCGCCCTTTCTTCCATCCGAGAAGAGGAGAATTTACTTCGGCCCAGAAACTCCGGTCCTGGCTCCCTTGACCACGCAGGGCAACCTTCCCTTCCGGAGAATGTGTGTTGAGTTCGGAGCACAGCTCACGTACTCTGAAATGGCCATGACTACGCCGTTGATTCAGGGACAAAAGTCGGAATGGGCATTGATGAAGGCTCATGAAAGCGAACTATCGCCGCCTCGGTATGCACCTACTTCAGTGGTTCAGAATTATGACAACTCCAAGGACCTGAAGTTTGCTACTCAAGTTTCCGCTAATAAACCCTGGCAAGCCACAAAAGCTGCGGAAATCATGGCGAAGCTGTTGCCCCATGTTCGTCTTATGGATTTGAATTGCGGGTGTCCGATTGAGATGGTCTACCAATCTGGTGCTGGTTCAGCACTGCTTGACGCGCCTTCTAAACTAGAGAAGATGATTCGCGGCATGAACACAGTTTCGGGAGAGATTCCAGTCACAGCCAAGATTAGAATGGGCACCAAGACGGAAAAGCCTAATGCGAAGAAGATCATTGAACGTTTGGCATTTGGTGGCATCGAATCGCAAAACCGTATTGGAGCCCCAGGATGCGCGGCAATCACTCTTCATGGGCGATCAAGACAACAGAGATACACCAAGACCGCCGATTGGGGATATATCGCGGAATGTGCTGCCTTGATTAACGGGTACAACCAGGACAAGGACAACCTAGTGGACACCATCAGCGCACCTGATGAGCGAACTCAAGCCAACGGCAAGGATGGCAAGATGTATTTCATTGGAAACGGTGATTGCTACTCACACGTTGACTACCTTGACCACATTCAAAATGCGGGTGTTGACTCCGTTATGGTCGCCCGAGGAGCACTTATCAAGCCTTGGATCTTCGAGGAGATCGAGACTGGACAATACCTTGACAAGTCTGCATCCGAAAGACTTGGCTACGTAGAGAAATTCGTGCGGTACGGCCTGGAAGCATGGGGCTCTGACGAAGTCGGAGTTGGACAGACCCGGCGATTTTTGCTTGAGTGGTTGAGCTTTGCCCACAGATACGTCCCAATTGGCATTCTCGCTCATCTGCCCCCAAGCCTTCAGGACCGACCACCGGCGTACCGGGGTAGAGATGATCTGGAGACTTTGCTAGCTAGCGACAACTATTTGGACTGGATCAAGATCAGGTATGTAGCAAGCAACGTTGATTCGAGGATTTAGCTAATGGTTCCAGTGAAATGTTCCTTGGGCCTAGCCATAAGGATTTCAAGTTCCAGCCGAAGCATAAGTCGAACAGCTATGAGATTGAGGCCGAGGGCTAGCGAGGAATGGTGCGGTACCGTTATCATGGTTTTCTACGCACTACGAAAGATGCTTCCACAAAGCAATTGCTGGTTGGGTGCATGGAGGCATCAAAGCATCAGAGCATCAGAGCATCAGAGCATGAACGCATACCGGTATATGCATGTATGGCAGGTAATCCTCGGGTAGGCCAAGGTGGGGATTCCGACCGAGAGCTGGTGAGCCATGAGCCATTGCAGATAGATACAACTGGGGCCGAGAGTTCCGGGCAAAGAAGCATCAGGCATTAGATAAGCAATGAAGAAGCCAATGAAGAAGCCTAGGTATTCCACACATGAATCAAGTCGCTGTGAATCCGCTCGCGTGGCCGGCATGTTCCGGAGCTATGTTGTGGACCATGGTGTCTCCTCAGCAGTCGTACGGTACAGTAACGAGCCTTTCCTTGCTTTGTAGCCTGGCACGTGACCATGATGACGTCCTCCGCTCCAGCCCTGGCCACAGCTTCCACTGCTCCTCCAGCCGCACACAACGCAAGCTTCAAAGCACCACCAACAACACCACCACGTCTGCCAACTCTCTCGAGCAAACCCTCTGCGCGAGGAAAAGATATAAGACAGTCAGCTGTATGTCACTCCAGGATACAACCTCAAACTCTGCAATTGCTCTAGAGATATTTTATTGTCAACCTGGTACCAATTTGGACTGACCACTTTGCTGCAGAAGAAGAAGAAGGAGAAGACACGACTCGATCCTATCAACAATCCCGACGACAATAGCCATACCCAATCATCAAGATGACGCTCTACTATAGCCTCGTGAGTTTCCGCCAATATCCGCAACGTTGCCAACGACGGGCAACCAGGGCATGGACACATCCGGGAGAACGTAGCTGACAGCAACACAGGTTTTCTTGCTCCTAGTAGCAGAGATGGTGCTCTTCGTGCTACTCATCGTGCCCCTTCCCTTCACTATCCGCCGCAAGATGTTTACCTTCATGTACGGACCTCTTTACCATCTGCCAGACATGTGCTAACAACCCCTCAGCAGCGAAAGCCCTGTAGTAGCAAAACTTCAATACGGAATGAAGATCACATTTATCTTCATCCTGATCCTTTTCGTAGACAGTGTCAACCGCGTCTACAAGGTACAAATGGAGCTGACCGAAGCCAACAAGACCGCTGGGTAAAATTTCCCCTCCCATACACATACGAAAATATCCTCTAACACCCCCGTAGACAAACCGTCATGGGCCATGAGCGCATGGAAGTTCAGGCCCGCAAGTTCTACTCCCAGCGTAATATGTACCTGTGCGGCTTTACGCTCTTCCTCTCGCTGATCCTCAACCGTACTTACACCATGATCCTTGACGTTCTGCGTCTCGAGGAGAAGATCAAGAAGTACGAAGGCGACCCCAAGGCTAAGGGCAAGGAGAGTGAGAAGTTGGCGAATGCTGGTAACGTTGGCGAGATTGGCAAGCTGAAGAAGCAGCTGGCCGAGAAGGAGCGCGATATCGAGACCTTGAAGAGTCAGGCTGGTGGTTTAAGCAGAGAGTACAACGACTTGAGTGACAAGTACACTGCTGCGAACCCAAACCCTACGCCTAAGAAGGATAGATGAGTAACAAATGCTGGACCAGTCAGCTGGGTGGGATTGATGGGGACGAATGAGGCGCAGAAAGATGTGAAGTGAGAACGGGGAGCGTAGGATTAAGGATGTGAGTGGGTTCGGGAAGGGTTTCCGTTAGAGACAGGGGAAGCAAAAGCAAACAGGCATGATGATGCTGCGTTTGTGGTTTCTTGTTGAGTGTGGCTATAGGTTATGAATGCGAGTCAATTGGTACGAAAGGCAGTCACCGATGATCTTCTAGTACAGTATACGGAAGATGTTCCGAAGTCATTCTTAGGTTGCGAATTGCACAATCTGTGCCCCTGCAATTGTTTTTGCTTCGGTTTCTTACGTCTATTCCGTTGCCGTCCTCCAAATCTACGCGGCACGAAGAAAAAAGGATGCATGGCAGAGCTGCCTGTGTATCATCAGCAAGAACAATAACACCAGCCAACCTTCCTCACCGAGCAAGCAAACGCAACAAACACAGCCAAAGAGAAAAAGACTGGGAATTCCCATAACGACCACTGCAAACTTTGCACACCCGTCCATACCTCCGAGAAGTCTCGGTTGGTTGGTTGGTTGGGTTAGGTTGGCCGGCTGTCAAACCAAGTTAGGGATTTCCATTCCATGCTCCTCCCTCCTCTTTCGCCTGAGTACTTATTAGGTAGGCAGGTCGGTAGGGAGGTAGGGAGGTATGTGACGACAAGGGAGGGTTGATCTCTTTTTCGCTTTCCCCGCGACGGGGGGTCGGCATTTTGATCTAGCAGTCGTTGCGGCGGCGGCAGCAGTTCGCAATGGAAATAGCGGGCAGTAGCCGTAGCAGACGTGTGATGTAACCTTGGTCAAATTGTTGTCGTTGGGCTGGTTGGTGACTGGTGATGATATTTTTGAGGAAGGGATTTGATTTTTGCCTTTTTTGTAGTTATTTTTCTTATTTAGCTAGTAGCTGGGTTTTTTTGGGCGTGTTTGGTTTTTTTGATTGGGAGTATGGATTTTTCGCGGTGCTTTGGCGGTGGTCTGGGTGGGGTGGGGTGGGAAGAGGTTGGAAGAGGCTGGAAGAGGTTGGAAGAGGTTGGAAGAGGTTGGAAGAGGCTGATTAATTGAGTAAGGATCTTTCTTCCTTTATACTTCGTACAGTCCGCCGAGGAGGTCTTTGGGTTTGGAAGTTTTGTTCTCAGAGGTGGCTGTGCTTGAGAATGTTTGGCTTGAGTTGGGTTGGGTTGGCTGGCTACTTATCTGTATCCGAGGGTCATGCGTGACAAGTCGTGGATTTAACCGAAGTAAAGAAAGCCCCGCAGATGGGGAGACGGCGATCTAACCGAAGTAGATAACCGAAGTAGATAACTGAAGTAGATAACCGAAGCAGATAACCGAAGTAAATAACCGAAGTAAACAAAGCCGCAGATTATGAGCGACAAGTCGTGGACCTAACCGAAGTAAACATAGTCGCAGATTCTCCCCATCTCAAATCGAGCCTCCCCTCAGGATGCTGGATTTAATAGTGACGGATTGAGACGAGTCCTTTTAACAGTGATGGCTTTGTAGAAGACCGTATCAAGGATATTTTATCATTGTATTATATGATGACAACGGATTTTCTTTTTCATTGAAGGTGCTTATGCATTTATTCTGCCTGGCACTACAAGAAACAGCTCTTAGCTGCTCGCCGCCGAATCATCTTCATCTTAGTTCTCTCAAACTCCGCACCGTAACGGAACCACAACTCTGAGGCCGCAATTGCGCGATGCCGAGTCAAAGGTCACCCACCATATCCTACTTCCCAGCCCTGTCTACAGCCGAATCGAAAGAGAGAGAGAGCGAAAGAGAAAGAAAAAACGATCCCCGTAGTATCCGCTCACTCATCCAGTACAACATGCTCCTCATCGTCTGAGACCAAGTCCACAGTGACCTTCGTCTTGTACTTGGGCTTCTTGGGCTTCTCTCTGCGGCCTGTAGATAAGAGAGGCGAATCCTCCCGCTCTCTCTTGATCGATGCTGGGGCTAGATCGGCCTCGTTCTTCGCAATGTTCTCCTCTTCCTCCTCCTTGGTAGCAGGGTCGGGCTTGATTTCAGGGGATTCAGGGAGGATTGGTAGAGCGACCTTCAAGATATCAGTCGTTGTCACTCTTTTTTTCAAGAAGGGCGGGTGGATGGATAGTCGTTATACTTACAGCCGCCACTTTCTGCATGAATCGGGCGCTTGAGGTAGGATCTGGAATGTGCGAGGGACCGGCGGTGATGGAGCGGGATCGATTGGCCAGTGTAACACGATTCTCTTCTGGCGCGGGAGACGGAGTACGTGGGATGACATACATCGACTTGAGAGCCTCTATTCGATCCCATCAGTCATAAAAGTTCGGATCGCAGTGTACGGGATGACCAACCCATAGAGCGATACTTGAATCGGAAGATCACCAGCGGCATCTCAGATCCATCGAGGTAATCGGCCTCAACGGAAGAAGCTGTAAGCTCTTCGCGAAACGGAATACCGGCACCCAAGCTTGAAGAGATTAGCAAGCTTTGTATCAGTATACAATGGTGGTATATTACCTCATCGTATGTGTCTGAGCTCCTTTGACGAGGAGCTTTTCATGGAATATCTTGGGGGTGTTACTCGCAGTTCTGACAGGCGTCTGCTTGGCGGGGACCTTCTTCAGAGCACCTCGGCGTGAGACTACAACAGCAATTTCTCCGAGCTTGGAAACTGCCTTCTCTTCCTTGCTATTGATAGTCTTATCAAGTGCTAGAAGCTGTTAGCAAGCCGCTGATCATGCCATGATGGGCTCGATAGACTTACTGTACTCGACATTGTCAAAGTGCATAACCCTCAGCTCTTTAAGTCCGTCATCTGAGATGCCAAAAACACGATCCACGACCGACTCCCAGATGCCTCCGGACTCTTCAAACTTCTCTTTGCTCAAGAACTGTGTCAGTCGGCGGGAACCATTGATGTAAAGGCTGAACCCAATGTTAGGGCTGTTGAAATAGTACGGGTCCTTGACTCCCAACTTGATTTCGAAGGCCTTGCCGGTGACAGCTTCGATGTAATTGGTAACGGTGTAAAGTTGCCGGTAGACTACCACATGAGGCGTGGGGTGAACAACTTTATCGTTCTCGGTCGGAAACTCCTGGCAGGCTTCGCCGTTGACCAGAATCGCGACTTCGATTCCAGCAGCTCCCTCGAGGATAGCCATGGTGTATTTACCTGTGTGTAAGTGCACTTCAAATGGTCAGCGCGCTGGAAATATGCAAGGTAAGGAAGGTGTTCCCGCAGGATGGCCCACAGATATAGAGCGCAGTCAATACTTGTATCGCTTGGAGAAAATAAAAATGATGAGAGCGGGTACTTGCCAGTAATTGCGTTGACGATTAAAGGTTGAGGAAGACAGATGGCTGCGAAGAGAAGTGCGTTCTCTAGATCGAGAAAGTAATGATTGATTGTTATGGCAAAGAAAAGAAAAGAGCGTCGGTTGCTAAAGCCGAAATACTAGTCTAGCCAGAGATACCGCGCGTAATTAGGCAATTCTGGAATCAAGCACTCGGAAGACTTCACAGCTGACGAGATACTCTAGAATCAAACATGATTACAAATTAATTTTTCCAAAGGTTTAGATATTTTGCTATCGGCCGAAAGGTATTACTAGTTTAGGGTATTTATTGACCTGCTTCATTCAGGGCGACACTGCTACCGCCACGAAACTCACCTACTGGGAAGCTTTTTCCCATCATTGCCTTTCCAGAGAAGTTGGACATGTACCACTGATCAAGCAACATGTCCTAGTTTATATCAATACCTTCCAAATCGGTCATCACATCGTTCCCGAGGTTGCCAGACCCCATATCGACTTTCTCAGGCATTTCTACCTCAGCCCTCTTCTTTTTTATCGAGTTCCTCAGCAAGAACTTCGCTGTATTCACAGCCTCTCGCGCCATATTAAGTGCCAAGCGTTCTTGTAATATTTCCAAGAATTGCCAAAGCGCTTGCAACATTCGATAGACTGTCCGCTGTATCGGGGGCGAGCAACACGGAAACGTACTGAAACACCGTACATAGAACACTCCACCAGGACTTGCTTTCCTCGGCCAGTTTCAGAGCAGCTGGAATTGCGGTATTTCCGATTTCAACCAAGCTGGGCACGTCGGCCTTGTCGATACTGAGTCTCAGGAGCCGGTGATGCCTATACAGAGATACACAAAGATCAGCTATAGAGGTCGGCAGCAATGGGCAGAGGTGCGGTATGAGCTTTGGTTTTTCCAAAGTACCATGCAGATCTGGATATCTGCGAGATCCCTCGGTGCGAGCTCGCTGATGGCGTGCAGATCCACTCCAGGATCACTAACACCGTATCGTGGCACCTTGCAAGTAATGTTCGAAATGAAGACGCCTGAAAGACTATATTTATATGATAGCATCGTCTTATTCCGCCATGTCGTCCAAAAGTTTTCCTCGCTAACTCGCAGACTGCTGGGCCTCGAGCTGTACCGAGTGCAGCATCCGGCTCCGTGAGGGTGATTTTACACACTTCATGATGCAGGCAGGTAGCTTCGGACAACTTTGGCTTCAGGCAGCTCACCAGCCAGGCGACATGAGGCCGTATCGTGGGCCGAAGATGTAAGCTCCTCAGACTCCGGGCCGAGACATGATCGATGGTCGGCTGAAAGGTCGGGTCTTCGAGAATCCCTTTCGCATGCTGCACCAATTCCGCCTGCTTTGGGGGGCTCAGTGTAGCAGAGAAAAAGGAACCAAGAGCAGCAATATCTGCCATGATAGCTTCAAATACTGATGCAGCCCCGGCCTGCTCCCAGAAGTTCTTAGCGCTCGCCAGGAACTCTGCCTGATCCACCGCGACGAAAAGAGAGTGCACAGTCTGGAAATACGTGTCCGCATACCGCGTAACGCCCCCTTTCGAGATCAAATTTCGCAAGTCCGCATGAAAGCTCCCTTCTTCTGGCCGGATCCCGCAGTTATATGCAAACAAGTGGACTCTTAAAGGGTTGGGACTTTGTAAGTACAGACCTGTAATTCGCGGAAACGCAGTTACTGAATGTATACCTTGATACCGCCTCTTGATCGGGTCTAAGATTCCCAAATATTCAGGCGATACCACTATTGGGGGGACTTGCCTCGCAAAAGGAGCCCCTTTTCCGAACGCTGCTGCGGGTTCACCATCCGAGATATATTAATATTGATAGCGATAGGTAGAGCACATAGAGTATGGGTACTAGTTGTCGCATTTCCTTTTGCGTTGGCGGCATAGGAGACGGGCTTTCCGGGCATGCAGACGCTTCCGGGTGTTTATGTGTCTGGCGGTATAGTGGACATCGATATTTTGGCAGCGAAAAGTCACTGACGATCTTGATATTCTTTAATGCTATTTAATACAAGGCAAATATCAAGAAGAGTTAATCGCATTCTGAGATGACAAGATGTACTCCGTAGAATGAGTAGGTAATGTGTGAGAGCTTGGTTGACGTTTAAATAAGGATTGATGCATCAGTGCGGACCCACTCCAATCTTTCTAATCTCACTTTCAGATAAACAATTTCCATGGACTTTTGATTACCTGAGAAATCAAATAGATATCTGCGATTGGATAAGAGATGACGGCTTTACAGTTTCCAGGCTGTGAACAGCATTCTTAGAAAATGGATAAAGCTGATGAAAAGGAGCTATGTTTAAAAGATATCTGGTTTCTTCTTTCCCGTGGGCCGCAGCTTCAAAAACGCTGGCAGCTGAGTAGCAAATCCTAATCATGATTAAATTAAGAAATATTGAAGGCGTTGTGATCGCATATCGCAACTGAAAGACCAGTTGGAAAAAATTTCGATCCGGAAAATCGCGGAATGTTGTAGTAAAGTATAAGCGAGAACTCGCTCAGCGGGCCGAATAAACAAAATCTTCCGTTACAAATTATTGCAGAAAAAAAAATCTGAAAAATTTAGAAGTAAAAAAATTGTAAGGACGCCATACCTCCAACTTGCGTTGAAGCCAGGCTGGAAGTAGAAATCTACTAGCCAGACCCGATCATGTTTACAGTACGCCCGAGCGGATTTTCCCCAACCTACTTGCGGACCACCCATTCCAACAAGCGTAATCTGGATGTCATATAGAGTGCCAGGGCCAAGGCTACAGATGGCTAGTTATGGGATGAAAGCCTTGACGGGCTCCATCCCCAGAAAGATATTATAGTAAGGTGTAGGGCTGTCAGCGTCGAAGAGAAGGTGTTGGGAGAGAGTGGGACTTACCGGTGTTGTTTACCAGATATCAGACGGACTTACTTGAGTGACCGACGACTTATTTTAAGTAAATTTATTTGCAATATTACATATTCGCTTCAAGTTCTTCACCGGGTGCGGCCCGATATTACGCCCTGGATGAATTTCAATTAAAAGCGGACAGCCGGACGGCGGAGGCAGATTGAATGATCAATTCGCCTTTTCAATTCACCTTTCATGAACTGTGACGGAGATCAGAGCGCTGGTAGTCTACATTGGAGCGCTACTAGTCTATTTTTCGTTGTTGCCTAATTCACTTTCCTTATTTATGATACCGCGACTATTTTTCTCCCAGCCCTTCAACCACTCCTTCAAGTCCCAACCGCTTCTTCAACTACTCCTGCAGCTCCTACTACCGCAACCACACCTGCAATCACTTCTGCAACCATTCATTCAAACATTGCTTCGACAACCTCTCCGACGCCTCTCCGACAACTCTTCCATCAATCCTTCATACTTCAACCACCTCTTTCGGCAACCTCGACAACTCTTTCGATTACTCTCTCCGACAACTCCTTCGACAACTCCTCCGATATCCGCACGTGCAAGAGAATTGCCCATCATGCCATCAAATAAGGCCTTCCCATACGAATCAAGAGACAAATCTCAGCTATTAAGTGAATGCATATCGCGTGGCCTCAGTACGACCGGCGAGTCCCTTCATTTGATAAAGCGCCTGGTTGAAGATGACAAGACAAAGTATGACAACGAGAAGGCGGAGAAGGTAAGGGACGGAATGGTTTTCAATCAAGTCACCGACCCGACTGGGGAGATGGAAATTGAGCAAGTTAAGGAAGACACCAAGCACGAGTCCCGGTGTATAACCTCTGTATGCAAAGCCGATCTCGATGCGCTGGAAAAGGAAAGCGAGCGCATCAAGCGTAGGATCATGAAGCAAACCACTGCGATGAAAACCAAACTCGATTCTGTACTTGAAGCAGAGATGGGTACCCTTGCTATAATTTCGATGAGAATCAGCCACCGAGAGGAGAATGCGCGCAAAGCAGCGGCCACAGCTTTGGCTAGAGCCAAAAAGGACGAGGAGGCCCGCAATGCAGTCTTTACAGCTGCGAAGGACCAGGGAGTTGATATGCCAGAGTATGAAACCAGGTGAGCTCTCTACGAACGCCAATCAATGATATAACGGTTCGCGACGTGTGCTGATGATAATAAACCAGTCTCTCTGGAAGCAACATCGCAAAGGAAGAGGGATCAGTGGCCGAGCCAACTGTTCTCACGGCGAGCGACGAGGAGGGCAACGAGATGGAGGCGCTCGAAAAGGTACCATAATCTCATTCCTCAGCGGCGCCGGCAGACTTGATCACTGAACTGACACTACGCAGAGTAAGCGACCTGGCTTGGATACCACCAAGAGTGCTCCCAAGAAACCCCGCCTCGATCAGCAACCATCAGCCACAGTTGCAGTGGAGAAGAAGTTCACCATCGAAGAGCTTAAGGAGCCCCTTGAGAAGTGCTTGAAAAGATTCGATCGAAGTTTCGTCAAGGTTGAAAGCTGGGGCAACAACAAGAGTCTTGAGATGCTTGAGGCCATCGCGGGCTGGGCCGAGGTATACAAGCCAGACGCCGTGCGCTGCGATGGTCGAGCATACTTTGTCATCTTCGACTTTCTCCTGGATGAAAATCTCAGAGACCCTCACAACAGCTCGCCGCGCGACTCGTGCTTTCTGCTCCTTGGGGGCTTCACTAAACGAAAAGATGGAGTCTTCGGACAGGTCGACGTCGTCTCAAGCGTTTATCATGGGAAAAGCGCGGGTGATTGCTACACGCGTACTGCTTTCCAGCTTGTGGATAGGGATCTTCAACATGGTGGATTGTAATCCCGAACTTCTTGAAGCCTCTCATTGGGCGGCGTTGTGGCCTGTTCTCTCTGGATGGAAGGGTGTGCTCGGGAAGGATGATCGCTCGCGCTCACTTTCTGTACTTCTCTCGTACCTGTTTCTCTTTTCTTGTCCTTGCCCTTTTCTCTTTCCACGTCCGCTTTTGTAATTCCTGCGGCCGGTACCCAGGCCGAGATTTCTCATCATGGGCCCAGGGCGCGAGAATTTCCAAACTGTACAATTCGTTAGATAGCGAGGGCGGATGTCGAGATAGAGACACTAATGGAGCACTGTGAAGATTGTACATTAAATTTGCAGCAAAAACATGCACTCGATGTGAAGATCAGCTCTGGCTTTGTGCACTGTATCTTCTCAAGATTTCCAATTCAAGTGACATGACTATTACACACCGTCACCTGTGATCGAAGTCAATCTACGAGTTCGACTGCAACCTTCAATAACTATATGATGCAACCTCTAATTTCTAGAAAATACACCTCTTTGCTGCGGTATTTCTTGGCTCGTTCGAGCCAGTCAAGAGCTCGACAGCGCACAGCATAACTTCTCAAATTAAAACAAAACAGGGTCGAGCCAATTACCCAACTTTCAAAACTTAGATTCAGCGATTTTTTTTGTTTATCTTAGTGTGGTATATATATATATATATATATTTCCTTTTCGAACTTCCAATCCAAATAGGCCCGCCCTTACCCAATTCTCACCGCTCGGCTACTATTTGGGAGGCCCCTTTTCCCCCCATAGTCCTTAGGAACTCTTGCCCCAAGATTGGCCCTTATCCCCCTCTATTAGCCGTTTTTATCTTTTGATCTTCATTATTGATTCAGCACCGCGTCTTTCAAATTGAGGACTCTTGTCTGGTAATGTTCCTCCTTAATTGACATCGTAAAATAGCCTTAAGGGTTGGAATTATTATCAAAATGAGATTGAAAGCAACGTCTGAGAATACACTCGCTACTTAGCGGGAACTAAAGACGGGCTAGGGAGCATAGTATACAACCTGTTTCTACTCTAAACTTCCGGGGTTTCTCCAATCCTTTACTGTTGTTTACAACTAAGCGATTTCTCAATCCAGTGACGTCCCAAAGAATTCAATTCCAGGTACCAATCGAATTTCCGTCCATACATCTCCGCAAACACCTCAAGTCCCAGGAATAAAAACCCTTTCCCATCCCTTTCCTTATCCTCCTATCCAGTAACTGACTTCCCCCAAACACCACGCTCACACACACCCCCAGGCCAGCCAGCCCCAAACCCATGTACCACGCGCCCCGATACCCTCTCAACAACGCTTCGTCCCCTTCCCCCGTGCCAACCCTGCTCTCCACCGTCCCCGCGAACCCCAAGCCGATGCTCACCGAGTAGTTGACAACCGTGTTCACCAGACTCGCCGCCACACCCTGCTGCCCGCGCGGCATGCGATCACTCAGCAGGATCGTCGCCGCAGGGAAGGACATGTCCATGCCCCACGGCATGACCACCACAGCCACGAACGTCTGCGCCCAGTAGCTCTGGCCCACGGGCGCGGTCGCCAGCAGCACCGTCCCGAGTGCAAAGGCCAGCATCGCCACGACCATCACCGCCCCCGGCCCGCAGCGGTGCAGGACGCGACCCGTCGTGAGCGCCGCCGCCAGGCCGGACACCGTGGTGGGCGCCACCATGGCGGAAGCCAGCAGCGGCGAGGCGTGGCGCAGCCGCTGCAGGAACTGCCACAGGTAGAAGATCCAGATGCCGAAGCTGGCCCACCCGGCGGCCATGCACGCCAGCACGAAGGCCGTGTCCTTCGTGAGCGCCGCCCGCGGCAGCAGCGGGTGTGCGGCCCGGCGCTCCACGCACGCGAAGAGCGCGAGGAAGGCGAAGCCGGCGAGGAGGAGCCCGTAGGTGTAGGGCGTCGTCCAGCCCGCCACGGGCCCCTGGTTCCAGGCGAAGTTGATCAGGACCAGGGCCGCCACGCCCGTGATGCACCCGTAGCCGTCCACGCGCGCAAACGCTGACGTCGTCGTGCTGCCGCTGCCCCCACGGTTCCCTCCATCATCGTCTGGGCTCGCGGGGACGGGCATCGGTGGGATGGCGACGAGGCCTGCGATGGCCATGCCGAAGCAGCAGAGGCCCATGGTCCAGTACGCCCACGGCCACCAGGCTCGCTGGGCAAACAGGCTCGCGAACACGGCGCCGAGCACGAATCCGGACGGAGCGGTCGCGCCGAAGATGGCGAAGATCATTTCCTTGCGCCGGCCGGGTGCGTATGTGCGGCCGAGGATGGCCAGGGCGTTCGGGAGCAGGAAGGCAGGGCCGATGCCCTGCATAGCGCGGCAGACGTCGAAGAAGATCGCTGGGGAGGAGGAGCGGGGGATGTAGACGGTGAAGCCCGCGAGCAGGGACCAGACGCCGTACCAGACGAAGCCGGCGGTGAAGAGACGCTTGTGCCCGTAGAGGTCGCCCAGCCGGCCGGCGATCAGGATGAACGTCCCGACGGTGAGCGAGTACGCGGCGGGGAACCAGGAGAGCTGCCCGGGGCTGGTCTCCCCGAAAGAGGCGCCGATGATGTGCAGAGGGGCGATGGCCTGGCCGAGCGAGGCTTGCGTAAAGAGCTGCGCGGTGCAGAGGACGCCGACGAACGCAATCTCTCTGGACAGGGAGACGGGCTTCTCGACGTCGCTCTGTGCCGGGTAGAGGAAGGACGCGGGCCGAGTACTGCGGCGGCTGCGTGTCTCCTCCTCCACGTTCTCCGAACCAGAATAAGGCGAGTCGGCGAACGTGGTGGCGTCTGGCTCCCCGTCACCTCCCCCTTCCTTCTCGCTACCCTTCTCAGTATCGATGCCGCTCGCCGCACTCGGCGGATAAGACGACGGCACGATCGTCGAAGTCGACGGCCAACCGGACGGCACAATCGCATCTCTGCCCTTCCCATTCCCATTCCCATTCCCATTCCCTCTCCCATGGTCCATCCTGCCCCCACCTTCTTCTTTTTCTTCTCCTTCTTCTTCTTCACTCCCTCTCCTACAATATCCAAATGTAAACAAACTAAACACCCGAAGCGAGAAAAAGCGGGGGGAAAGGGGGGAACCGTAAGCGAAAATTCTCTTGAGAAATAGTGTATCTATTTATCACGTGCACCCTCACAAATCACTCACATTGCACAGCGACAACCTCACATCCGCGGCACCAAGCCAGCTCTAAATACATGTATTCTGCATCCCACCTCCACCAACCCACCTTTACAAATCGAATCCCCACACCACCATCATCATCATCATCATCATCATCATCATCATCATCATCATCAAGGGAGCGTTCCCTCCTCCGTAAACGAAGGGGAATCCGAAGGAGATTGGCTGCGCCAGCTGCAAGGGATGTACCAAAAAGGCAGCCGCAACGACTATCACCGCGCCCGGCCCGCAGCGGTGCAGGACGCGGCCCGTCGGGAGAGAGAGAGAGCTGCAGAGTCGGCCAGCCCATATACCGTCGGAATACCTAGCTCCGAGATAATCACGGTGGGGGAGTAAGTAAAGATACAGAAGTGATTGCGAGGAGACTGAACTTCATCTTGTCAAGCATCGTGGAGTGTACTGTTATTACTTGAGCAAGTATGAGGTCGAGAAATATACATATCTAGGTGATCTGAGGGTACGTACTGCTTTATATTAATACTTTGTACACCGTAGAGAGATGATCGGAAGTATAATTTTGCAAGGGCTCTTATCAAGGATTGAATCAATCAACATTTATGAATTCAGAAACCTGCCTTTCATTCTAAGAGGAGGTTGGGGGGT